GAACGTATCTTGTTGCTACAAAAAGCTCCTCTTTCAGAGAGTGCTGTTAGGTGTTTTCTTTCGTATATATTAAAGATTTTTAGATAAGTCTTTGGAGAGACGAGAAAAGGACGAAGGTTTGACCAAATGGCGAGGGTTATTTATTTTTCTTCTGAGGGGATTGATATGGTTAAGTTTTTTAGTTAAATGAGGAAATAATGTTATAATAAAATTATTACTTCTTAAGAATTTAACTTGTATCTATGAATTACCATATTGGATAAGTAATTTCAAGAAAATTATACTATCTACAGTATTTGGAGAGACGACGATTATCTTATACAGTTCCGAGGCTTTTTTCTTGCGATACAAGCAATAGCAGATTTCGTGCCGCATGTTCTTTTCCAACATGAATAAGAGATTTTCATTTCCACATATTTTCCAACTGTTGTTGGAAACACTGGAAACATTGAAACCGTTTAATTTTCTCGACCAAGTCAAATTAACTAGCCGCCTATGTGTCAATGTATCACTGACTCGAAGCCAAACCAACCGTTTAGGGTTACATTGGCCTCTCTAACGTACTTGCCTATTTAAACTGTCTACTAGAACTAGAAGACATGTGGATCTAGTCTGTGAGGTTAAACACATTATTGTACGATGACAAAAAAAAAAGACTTACTCTTCCTCATGTTATACACGTAAATACATTGAAAGCAAAGTAATAGTCATCATGGCTAAGTTTGCTTCCATCATAACCCTTCTCTTTGCCGCCCTTGTTTGCTTTGCTGCTTTTGGTGAGTAGTGTATTAACATTGAAATTGTATAAACATTTATATATATACACGTATGCAGAAGCACCGGAGTTCGAACTTGTTTACCAACCACGGGACAAGAACTGGAAAGCCGGCTCACTTGCAAAGAATGCTCGAGACGCGGAACTGTTTTTTTTTATTAACCATGTTGCTTTCTTTTGATTTGTAGATGCAAACCATGTATTTTTATATAATTAAAGGATGGAGTGTGTTGTGAAAAAAAAAAAAATAAGAAAGATGATTATTGATACGAGAATAATGTGAACATCAGTCACGGTGAAAAACATCGGTTAGAGAGGCCACATGCTTGTTTGAGTACTGAAATTTTAATACTTTAAATTACGCCCCTCTCATTTTCTGAAAATTGTGTTTTAAAAGAGTAGGACCGCTAACCCTGAAACACATGGCCTTCCAAAAGTTCTTTTGTTTTAATCATCTGAGGAGCTTATTCATCATCACCAAAAGACCTACGCTGAGCCAAGAGAAAACGACAAACAAAAGGCATTGGCGTTTGACCGGTCGTGGCCAGGTTTATGCTGGAACCACCATTTCTATTCCTCCTAGTCCTACTCTCTGATTATTTTCATTCCAAGATTGACACGTTGCTGGAAAGAAAAATGCATTTCCACAAGCAATCCGGTGGATAGTGTGGACGATATATAGCGAGAAATGATGCATAGTTGCAGAACCAAAAATTCAGTTTTGTGGAACTTTTGACGATTTGTTTTTCTTAAAATTATTTAAGATAATTAGATATTTCCGGCTTAAAATTATTTAAGACAACTAGATTTCTTGTTAAAAGTTAATATTATTTAAGATACAATAATAAAATTGGAAGATGCCACAATTTATATTTTCGTTTTGAACCACCGATATCATTGGACCGGCCTTATATTAGTTTCTGAGATATAGCAAAAACATTTGGCGAAGTATTAAGGATTAGAATGCAGTAAAATGGAATAGAATTGAGACACGCATATAGGAATTGAATCGCAGCACACCAATCACTCAATATCCAAACAGGATTAGTATTTCAAAAGCATAAACCCAATAATACTTAACAGTAATAAAATTACAAAAAGCTTGAAAATTAATTGGAGGAGAAGTAGCCGAGCGAGGCAAAGGAGATCAAGCGTCCACTCTTTGAAGTTGAATGGCCCTATGAGACTCTTCTTCATTATCATGGTAGATATACGCAAAACCACCGTGACGTGTCATATCCATTCCGGCCATCTCATCCTCCGATGAGATTCTAAGAAGATTGAGCTTTTTGAGGATGAAGAAGAGTGTTCCCATTGTGGTACTAACCCATCCCACAACCACAAGTATTTGAACCAGTTGTGCTCCCAATAGCTTCCCTCCTCCGCCCATTAATAGCCCGTATGGCCTTCCTAGGGTCGCACCGTATACCTCGTTTAGGTACTTCTCCTTTGCAAACAGTCCTACAAATATCAGCCCCCACGCACCACATCCTCCATGTAGTTGCGCCGCCTCGAGTGGATCGTCGTATTGTAGGATCTCCGCGAGCTTGTTGCATCCGATAAGGACAAGGGCAGCCACAAAACCGCAAACTATGGCAGCCCATGGCTCTACCACAGAGCAACCACCAGTTATGGCAGCGAACCCACCGAGTAGCCCATTGCATACGTCGGTTACGTTCCAGTGGCCCGAGAGGAGACGTTTTCCAAAGAGTGTAGTTAGGGCCGCAGTACATCCGGCGAGCGTGGTTGTAACCGCTGTCCGCCCTATTCCGCTCCATTGGCCGTAGCTCGAACCGGAATTATACGGAACAAGGATTTTGGCAAAGGAACCGGGGTTAAAACCGTACCAACCGAACCAGAGGAGGAATGTCCCTAAGACGACGAGAGAGGCAGAGTGGCCACGAAGAGCAATGGCGCGACCGCCTTTTTTCTCAAACCTTCCAATCCGTGGACCTTCGATAAGGGCACCCCATAATCCAGCGATGCCACCAACCATGTGAACAACACCAGAACCAGCAAAATCAATGGCTCCGGTGCTAAACAAACGGTCTTCTGCGGCACGGAATGGGCTGGCCCATCCGTCCGGAGACCAAAACCAGTGAGAGACAACCGGGTAAACAAATCCGGTTAAAAAAGAAGAGTAGATCAAGTAAGCCACGAACTGAGTTCTCTCCGCGATCGAACCACTAGTGATTCCAGCGGCCGCGATTGCGAACGCCCATTGGTAGAGGAAGAAAGAGTAATCGGCTGTGAGAGTCGGGAAGTCTCTAAGAGCAAAATTATGTCTTCCGATGAAACCCTCAGAAGATCCACCAAAGGCAAAGGCGTAACCAAAGAGATAGTAAAAGAGACCTCCGGCTGCAGCGTCAAGGACATTGGTAAGCATGATGTTCATCGTATTCTTGGCTCTAACCGAGCCAGCGCAGAGCATTGCGAACCCGAGCTGCATCGAGAAGACGAGATAAGCCGAGAAGAGGAGGTAAGTGTTGTCAATGGCAAAGGCTGCATCGGTAAACTTGTTGTTGACGGTACCTAATTGGCCGCAGATGTAGTCTGCTGCCGCCGTGGCGTTGGGGCCGAGCAGGGCCGAGAGATCGGACGCAGAGCAAGTTATAGCTCCCGACATGTTGAGAGAGAAACAGAGACACGGAGAAGAAAGGATGTCTCTTGTGTGTCTTATTAAGATGAGGATGAAGGGGTTTAGGGTTGACTTTTGATTCCGGCTTGACCAATTAAATTCGTAATCAAGTGGAGAGATATTAATTATTTAAAAGATAACAACATTATTAAATTAGAGATGGAATCTGCTAAATCTTGTAGGACTTGTAATCTACGATCCAAATCCAATACGATTTTTGTGAATTAGTGATTAGCATGTAGTTGTGAATATAAAAAAAGCAAGGGAATATATATAAATAAAAAACTACTGTAATGTGATGACTTTATAGTTATTATTTAAAATCACAAAGCTGATTTTCAAGTTCTAACCAACGGTCTTCTTGAAGCTAAAAGTAAATGAACAATCCATGGTCTTCTTTCAACCATAAAGGGATTAAATCTAAGATCATATATCGTAACTTTAACCCAAAAAAATGAAGGGATATTAGCATGTATATTATCCATTACACTAATAATATATTATCTAACATATCCTAAATTATAATTAGATAATTAGCATTGACAATACCTAAAATGATGATTTTATCCTTAGTTTTTTTTTAGTTTTTTTTTTAAACAAAAACAAATAACAAATCACAATAT